ACTTATTTACCTATTTTAATTAGTTATTTTTATATTTATTTTTTGTCCACACTCAATGTTGTGTTGTTGTAATGTTAAACCACTAGAGGGAGCGAGATTCCTATTTTCTGTGGGAAACGTTGGAATTTAGCCTAATCAAACTGTGAATGTGGGTAATACAGTAGTTAATTAGTTCTGATAAGCAGAAATACAAATAGATTTCTGCAAATTTTCAGTTTCTGGGATTATATGCCATCTTCCATTAGTTTTGTATCAGCTGTTTCTTCAATGAAAAAGAGAAGACAGCAATCAAATTAAGCTTGTTCATTTGCAATACATACAGTGCCTGCTGAAAGGCACATTGTGTTGCAAAGTCAAGCAAATTGAAACTTCATATTTAAAGTGTTCATTAATCATATTAGATCTGCTCTACTGTCATGAATGCCAGAATGTGAACTTGAGATGAAATTGTTAGGAGATGAAAGTTGCACTCTCAGGAAAAAAAGGTACATAACTGTCACCGTCACTGTCAAAAGATACTAATATGTACAGTTTATGTACTAATGGGTAGCCTACTTTTAAAGTACTAGGCCTTATATGTCCTTTAAAGTTGCTAATACATACTATTTGGGGGGGGGGTTCAGCTTTATATGTTTTTCCTGAGTAATAAAGACTGCCAATACTTAAGCACTGTAAAATCTATTGGGGTGGGGGGATCCAGACACTACTAAGATCAGGACATCCTATCAAATTGAGCAAGCAGACAAGAGGGACAATTGTCAAAGAAATTAGCAGCAGGCCAAAATGAGTGGGAGAATGTGTCCAGAAATCAACACCCTCATCAGCACTTCACTTGTTCACCCACTTAAAGAGAGTGAATTGAAGGAAGCCACTTGTGAGAAATGTCAGTATGCCCAGAGTTTGTAAATGAGACGTGTAGTTCTTTAATTTGGTCAGTGTTCAATTTGTAGAGGAATACTTTTGAATAAAATGTGTTGAATGTTATTAAACAAGAAATCATTTGAATGGTTTTTGAACAGGAACTTTGCCTATAATGAAGACCTGACTGGTCGAAACATTGCACTGTTTGGTAAATACATTTTGGAGCTGTAGTTTCAATGTGTAGACATTTACATTACATTTACATTTAGCAGACACTTTTATCCAAAGCGACTTACAAATGAGGACAATGGAAGCAATCAAAATCAACAAAAGAGCAATGATATGCAAGTGCTATAACAAGTCTCAGTTAGCTTAACGTAGTACATGTAGCAAGTTTTTTTTTTTTTATTATATAATAAATAAAAAGAAAACAGATAGAATAGAAAAAGAATAGAGCAAGCTAGTGACAGTTTTTTTAAGAAAACAAGCTGTTGGTAAATGAATAGAGAACAAGTCTAAAAGAGGCAAGTTTTTTTTAAAGAATAGAATTAGAATAGAGAGTGCTAGAGTTAGAGGGTCAAATAAAGATGGAAGAGATGTGTTTTTAGCCGATTCTTGAAGATGGCTAAGGATTTAGCTGCTCGGACTGAGTTGGGCAGGTCATTCCACCAGGAGGGAACATTTAATGTAAAAGTCTGTGAAAGTGATTTTGGGACTTCTTTGGGATGGCACAATTAAGCAAGGTTCACTTGCAGAACGCAAGCTTCTAGAGGACACATAAGTCTGAAGTAATGAATTTAGGTAAAGGGGTGCAGAGCCAGTGATGGTTTTGTAGGCAAACATTAATGCCTTGAATTTTATGTGAGCAGCTTATTTGTAGCCAGTGCAAATTAATAAACAGAGGTGTGACGTGCATTCTTTTCAGCTCATTAAAAATTAATCTTGCAGCCGCGTTCTGGATTAATTGTAAAGGTTTGATAGAACTGGCTGGAAGAGCATTGCAATAGTCCAGCCTGGACAGAACAAGAGTTGTGAAGCATGTTCCGAAAGAAAGGGTCTCATCTTCCTGATGTTTAATAAAGCAAATCTGCAGGACCGGGTAGTTTTAGCAATGTGGTCTGAGAAAGTCAGCTGATCATTAATCATTAGACATGTTCATTAACAGGAACAAAATGCAAAAAAAAAAAAAAACTCAAAAGAGGTTATACTTTCTGAACATCGCTGTAGCTCCTTCTCTGGTCATTTTCAGTCTGTTTTGATCAACTGTGTGCTCTGAATCAAACCTGCCACATTGATCTCTGCAGTTTCCAAAGGCCTTCAAGAAGTCTATTAGCTGGCAGACTGAAACTGAGGCAATTTTCTTTTCTTTGATCAAGTAATCAAAAGGAACCATCAAAGTTGGCAATTACTGTTCCTGAAACGTGACTTAATTACATCCTATAGCTGTTCAAAGACAAATGTTCTTACAGAACACATTTGCCATCCGAAGGGGAAAATGAATGTCATTTCTTTTCTCTACTAATTAATATATAATGAGGATCAACCATGTAATGGCATCTACATGGACCGGATGCACTTACACACCAATATAGCTTTTGCAACGAGCAATCAATTAGCTGTACGGACGACATGGATCAAATTACTCTCAATCGATTGCCCCAGAATATTGCTTACCCTCATACGGTGTGTGTGTGTGTTTCTAAGTGTGATGAATGAGAGCCATTCTTAAGAATTATTCTGGGGGTTGAGTTTTACAGCTATCCCTATTCTTACCCTCTCAAACTAATGAGGGTTAAGATTTGTGGGGTAGAAACAGAACAAACCTCTCCCCCTCTGAATGGCTGAAAAGGCCACAGAGAATATACAGACTTCCTGCCACAAATCTCTCATTGATTTTCCTTTTAACACTAGCTAAATGGAGATGCGCTGCAGCACTCTGTTTGATGAGACTGCTTTTATATGTGAATACACAAAAGCATATGCACAGCGCTTATACACAAACAAACATGCCCTCTGCTATCCACGCATATAAAATAACTACAATCAATGATCAATCTACACATCAAGTGTTTTTACTTGGCATGAAAACTAATGTATAAATGTATGTAGCCCGTGCTCTTCACATGAACACATACATTGAAATCTTAATAAGCACCTTGATGTAGAGACCTTACGCTATGCTTACATTACAAAATCATTTTATCTTACAGTAATCTCTCATATAAACCAAGTTGATATTTTTTGTTCCTAGAATGTTTTTGGTATGTTTGTTTATAAAATATAAAAAGTAAATAAACATTAGAGTATGTTATGCATAACCTTCCAGTAATGTTCTGAGAACATTAGTTTATGGTTTTTAAAAATTAATCTTTAAAAGAACATTCCAATTGTGAAACTGGAACAATTGTAATAAATAAATGTAGATCAAACAAAGATTATTGGAGTATAGTTTACAAATAGAAGTCTTTCTATTTTAAAATTTCATCTTGTCATTTCTTTGTAATTATTATTATAATTGGCTTTCAAAAAAACCAAAGGGCAACCATACACTTAGGTTAGTGGAATTTTCTGTTTGCTCTGCTGGGGATTTACTTTTAGTTCCCAATTATTTACAAAGCTGGGGTGTAGCATTAACAAATACATAATTCATAATTCTCACAAGTTTGTCAATGTAATATATTAGATTAATGCAATGGAATGTAAAAGAATCATCAATTAGAGTGAGCAAAATCCATTCAGGAAATGTTTTAGCTACATGTTTTCTGTCTTTCTGATTGATTTATCGTCAGCTCTCAAACAAAGTTAATTGTCTGCAAAAGCATGGCTGGATCAATGGGGCGTCATTTGTGTGATGCTGTTATTCACATTATCCATTGGTATCCGGCAATGTCTTTGATTAACTGACAATAAATCCAGCAGACCTCATTTCCTAGATGGTTAGTCTTTCGTACACAACCTAAAGCTGAGTATTGATCATGTATTGAGTTTCTAATCAAGTTCAGTATGCCTATGCAACCTTATTAGTCTGACCGGTTTATCATGTCAAGCAATTGCTAGCTAATGATTTTGGTTTTGTGTAATTAATTCTTCATGTTGCTGAAATTTTCATTTAAGGGAGGACATTGACCTTGGTTTGATTTCAGTGCAATGAAGCTTGTTAACAAGTGAAGAGCAATCAGTATACGATATACTCAAAGGAAACATGATTGGATCAACATTTATGGATCAATCAGAGAAATAAAAGAAAAGGGGGTACAAGACACTGCATGAAGACACAATGAAAACATGGCAGATGTATGTCTGGGAATGTGTTTTGATTCATACATTACAATATGTTACATGATTTCGTTATTTAGTCAATTTTGAGACATTTTATACATAAGATATGATTCTTGTTCTTTTTTTTCTATATGCAACTGATAACCAGTGAAAATGTATTCAAGCTTCTACTGCATTGATTTGAAAGGGCAACTGTCATACTATTCTTCAGTAAACAGGTGGCGCTCATGCTCTGAATTCCTCCATGCAATCAAGTAAGAAATAAAAGTTCATACAAGTTTTTTGGGGATTATACATTAAGCTTACGTGAAGAAAATTTAGATTACAAGTTAAAACTAGTTAGAGTGTGTTAAACAGACGCATTCACCTGAGGTAACCTCAACTAGTTGTGTCTATTTCGGAACAACAGCACAAAAACCATAAATATTATTTATCACGTTATTATAGATTTACCCATTAAAAAACGCTCACAAAATGTGTAGTATTTCGTTTACAACGTCATATAAGAAAGTCAAATAACAATAAAAAATAATTTAAAAAAAAATCGACAGTGAAAAATTCGCACACAGTGTGTCAGATAGCTATGGATCGCAAAGTGGATTCCATTTATGCTTGGACAGTCTTAGGAAAAGTCTCATTAAGTAAAGTGCTTAATGGTGCCTAATCAGCGAATATTCACTGTCCAACTGAGCCAAAAGGACCGACCTTCTCCAGAGATCCAGGCACATGCGCAGTATCTTTACACTTAGTGCGCGTACTTCGACCTTACATGCATATTGTCGGGCAACTGAGCGCGCAACAGCACACGCTGACAGTTGATGTGGACTGATATGAACTTTAAATAATTTTGGAATTTTCTTTTATTCATGTTCATATACATTTTTAAGACAAACCGATGTTTTGAACGATTGCTGAAGATATGATAAAGAATATATCAAAAGGTTAAATATAACCCAATGTCGCGATATTAGTGTTTTTATCGTAATATCGGAACTCTCAGTATTGGTTTTTATTCTGTTCTCGCGGGGTGTGTCCCTCAGAGCAGCACTGAGCGCTTGTTGGAGTCTGTCCGGATGTGTATATGATGTCTGATCACTTGTTCCTCACCAGTGCGCTGCAGGCGCGCAATGGATTTATTGTGGGAATTGTTCTATATCGTATTTAACCAATTTCTCTGCTCGCTGAATGGATCTGAATAAAGCAACGATGATATTCGCAACTTTTTGGATAATGTTGCCTGTCCTTGGTAAGTTGCGATGCATGTGTTCTAGTGTTTGTTTGCGCGCTACATCTGTAACACCTAACCTACAATAGACAAATAGCCTACTGTAATTCAGAAACATACATAGCCTATGTTTTTTTATGATTGTTAAGATTATTATTATTAATTCTCAATCCTAATCATTACTTGATACATTTGATAAATTTCAGGGATTAATAGGAAATATTTTTTTAAGTGTTTTGTCTTTTATCATATCTATAAGTTGTCTCTGTTTGTTTGAATTGGGTCCACTAAAGTAACTAGGTAAGTGCTATCACCTTAATTATGAACATTAGAAAATCGTGGTAACAATGTGCCAGACATTCTGTTTTATTCATTCACATCTGTAACTTTGTATTTTCCCTGCACAGATTTAATGCACTTCTCAAAGGCAGATGCGATCTCACAGTCTCGGTCGGTTCGGCTGGACTGCGTTAGGGCTCATGAACAGTGTTTGGCGAAGTACGGCTGCAGCACTAAGTACCGAACCATGAGACAGTGCGTGGCCGGGAGAGCCGGTAACTTCAGCATGCTGGCTGAACCCGAGGCGCAGGACGAGTGCAGGAGCGCCATAGAGTCCATGAAGCAAAGTCCTCTGTACGACTGCAAGTGTAGGAGAGGAATGAAGAAAGAGAAAAACTGTCTGCGCATCTTCTGGAGTATATACGAAAGTTTACAGGGTGAGCAGATCCAGGATCAACAGAATCCAATATGAGAAATTATCATGCTTTGTAGACAACTTTAAGTCATGGAAATGCAGTAGAAATCACTCAGAGCTTTAATAACCCAAACCAAAAGCTCAAACGTGCTGGTTCTAAGAAATATACATGTAAACAGTTTGGGTTCTTCATGCTAAATTACTATTTCTACTTCACTATCTTATTGGTACTTTGCTGGTGTTTATCTTCCAGCCAACGACTTGCTAGAGGACTCACCATATGAGCCAGTAAACAGCCGTTTGTCTGATATTTTTCGTCTGGCTCCAATAATATCAGGTAAGTCTGATGATAATTTATCTGCACCTCACAATTATCACACTGAGTACAAATCATTTGCCAGCTTTTTGTTTTGTCTGTATGCTTAATGTGCATAATATGTCTTAGGTATATGTGTATGTCCTCTTTCCCTGCCTTGTTCTTGAGATATGCTCATTTGGCTATGGATAAAAGTGTATGCCGAATGAATGAATTTAAATTTAAATGTCTGGTGGCTTATGTTATGAATGACCTGCCTGCATCAGTCATTTATAAAAACGTGCTTTGTAATGGATTTTAGAGATTTGAGTGAACAGGTTTCAGTGATGTCCTTGGAAAAGAAAAAAAATTCCTATAGAGGACTAACAGAACAAGTGCTGCTTGATGGCGACGGTTTAGTCGTGCCCTGTAGATGGCGCTGTTCCTCCCCTGTTCAGCTACTGTGAGGTCTGCTAGTGTTGAAGATACCACTGACTGAATCTCTCTATCTAAGTTGTGCTTGACTGTGGAAGTTCTGCAGTAAATCTCCATGGTGACAGACATGCAGTAGCTCTGTTCCAAAATCTAGTGAGTTTCCTCGCTGCCAAATGTATATATATATACAATAGCTCTTTCTGGTCCTCAAATCTGATTGGCTGATAAGAGTGTTGAAATTAGAGTCCAACAGAACTCCAACTGCCATTTCACCGTTTGTATCATTGTATATTGCTCATATAAACTGAATATCTTAGAAGGCATCATAATTAAGTTGCCTACCTTTTTGAAAAGCATGTGATGCAGCCCTATAGGTTTTGATCAGAAAACAAGTGTCTGTGGTTTTGTTTGCATTAGGTTTGGATTCATTATGCATATACTGTAGGTCTTTAAGGAACATGTGGGCATTACATGAAAGTACATGCAAGACACCCTCCCCTTACATTCCCCCTCGGTCCACTTCAAATCAATAAAGCCATAGAAGAGACACAGCTTCTGAGATTGCAGCCTTGTTCTTTCCTGAAGTGTTAATCAATACGGTCAAGGATTCAGAATGTACAAAAAAGCTTAACAGCTTAAATATACCAGCTGTTAATTCTTTAATCATCAGTCTGGTGCTATTAGAGCATTATTATGAAATGAACATCAAAAGGCTTGCTGTTGTATTGCTGTGCTTCTGTGCATTAGTGTATCTAACAGCCAGCTACAGGTGTTGTACATCACCAGAAAGAGAGAGACACTCATTTGAATTATTTTCATATTTGGATGCAACGCAATTGAATATTAATCTCACAGCGACCCTCTTTACTTATTCCATGCATATCTAGAGCAAAAGATAGTGGGAAAAGGTGCAACGGTTTTGGCATGTTCCAGCAACCCCTAGTAATAATTCACAGCTGGGTTTTACAGGACTGGGCAGGATGTTTATGGCCGCTGCCAGTGCAGCTTCAATAAAAACTGATTTGGTTGAGAGACCCAGAGCTGCTGGGCCAGATCTCTACATGGCCCAGATGGAGAGACGTTCCCGTTCTTGAGGTGGTGCAGTGTCAGGGTTATACAGGTTCGAAGAAACTGTTGAAAAACCTTTATATCAAAATGATGAACTGCATTAACCAAGACTAGCAGCAACCCCATTGTTTAACACAATAGTTTGGAGAGAGAAAGAGATAGGAAGTAACTTGAGCAGTGGCTAATATGCCAAAAAAAAACTTTGGTTGGTTAGTGTTCATTGTGTGTCCTGTCCATAAAGTGCTTTTATATTTACTGTCATTAACCACAGAATCAGCCCACACACAGGACCCCAATAATAACTGACCCTAATCTCTTATTCTCAGTGGGACATCTCTATACAACACCTTGTGTGGGTGTTTTCAGGCTGTTCACAGCAGAAATGGATACTCAAGTCTGAGGCTCGTTCACACAGGCCAGCAAGCACCAAATTCCAAATGGTTGTTAGTAGGGCTGGGCGATATAGCTCAAAAATTGATCAACGTTATAATGTTTCATATCGTTCGGTATCGATAATTATTGACTTTTTTTTTTTATTTAACCACTGTATTTTTAAATTAACCCAATTTATTGAGACAAACAACAAATATGAAAATGCGCTGAATTTGCGTTCTGTGTGAATAGCTTGGTCATTATTATGGCGGTTGATGGGCTGTGTGAGCATTACAGTTATATTTACAAACTATAAATATATCAGTCAACTTGAGTCAATAAACTGTTTTTAGACTTGACTTGGACTCATAAAAACTGACTTGAATCTTGACTTGGTAAGTGATTACAGTATATTTACATTTAGTCATGTAGTAGATGTTTTTATTCAAAGTAACTTACAAATCAGAAACGTCACGAGCAATTTGTGCTAACTATAATTTATATATATTTTTAAATTACACAAGAAAATATAATCTATAGGCTATTGAAAACTTGACTGACAAAATTGAATTAGACCAGTAGGCATTCATACTCAATTAGGCCTATATGTATGAACCTGAAGAGGAACATAAAACTATGGCTGTCAATAGAGTAAAATAACTGATTAATTTCTGACCATTCTTTAGAAAGCAAAATTATAAAAACATTTCTTTACAACATAAGTTGTTAATAAAACAAAGATTAAGGAGCATGTTTTACAAGAAAATACAATTTCAGACATGTTTAATTCAGTTTGTTATTTGCTGTTTCTTTGTAATTGTTGGTGAAATTAGCCATTTTTAAGTGAAAATTAGTTTTTATGCCAAATTAGTTTCAGTGGCTTACTATTTTTTGATGAACTTCCCAGGTTGTAAACCCATGCTTTAGGAGACACTTGAATCTAAAGTGCCTTACAAATAAGGAACATCACAAGCAATTTCTAATAAATAGGATTGTTTTTCATTTTAATGGAGATGTCACTTAAACTTGTGACAAGCGACTTGAAGAGACTCTATGGCAGAGACTTGTGAACTTGTCTGGTGTACAGCATTGAAACACAGTGCTGAATATCCTTGAGGGAAACATGAGGCCAAGCAAAGAGATGAAACATAGTCAACAAGGTATCCGCTTTCTCTAAATCCTTTCATAGTCCTGACTAACAGAAATGCCTGCTCATCTAATTGTAGCTGTCCTGGGCTCTAATGCAAAAACACCAGTGTTTCAGTAAACGTGTTCAGGTTACACTTCCTGTCAGAAACATAACTGAGATCAATATGAATGGCCACATTAAGCAGCTAATAATTGCTGAGCAAGACAATTCACCCTCCAACTTAGCATTTTAAACTTTAACAAACTTACTATTCTCCATAAAGTTGCATCACTGAGGTAATAGCAGTCAAAACAGATCGAATAATCACATACGTTTTATGTCATGTTTATGAGAAGCTGGGTTGCGGACTTGATGCCTCTTAGATGACTCAGTTTGATGGGTATTGTTGGAACTGCAGAATCTTTGTTCAGGATGTGTCGGTATGCAATCTCCTGTATAGGCACTTTCTGTCCTCATTATTTGATGGCACACCCTCCAGCTCTGCATAGCTTTGTGGGTTTGGGGCTTTAGTAGCAGATCCTCTTCAGCCATGGGATCACAAAAAAAAGGGAGGGGGAAGATTAGCCTTGTGAAAGATGAAAGACATGCCCTGTTTAGTGAAAAAGTAGCCAAAAGGGTTGGGCAGAATTGAATTGTACTGAATTGTACAATGGTTGCCAGTAGGCAGGCAACTTGATGGGATGCTTAAAGCTTATTAGGTTTTCCACAGTTAAAGGGACTGTGATCATTTACCCAAAAATGAACACTCTGTCATCATTTACTCACCTTTATGTCATTCCAAACCTGTATGACTTTCTTTCTTCTGAGGTGCATTGCTTTTGTGCATTCAATGAATCAATAAGGTTTGGAACAACATGAATAAATGATGACAGAATTGTCATTTTTGGGTTCCTTTATATGTTTAAAACATTAATGGCCTTACTGTAGGTCATATGGCACTTTCTTTGTGTTTCAGTGCTATGGCAAAAGAAACATGTTTATTGTGCCATTAATCATGAGTAGGGGTGGAACGGTTCGTGGAAAAAAATCGAACCGTACGGTTCTCCACACACAGTTCGGTACGCGCTAAGATGTCACTTAAACTTGTGACAAGCGACTTGAAGAGACTCTATGGCAGAGACTTGTGAACTTGTCTGGTGTACAGCATTGAAACACAGTGCTGAATATCCTTGAGGGAAACATGAGGCCAAGCAAAGAGATGAAACATAGTCAACAAGGTATCCGCTTTCTCGAAATCCTTTCATAGTCCTGACTAACAGAAATGCCTGCTCATCTAATTGTAGCTGTCCTGGGCTCTAATGCAAAAACACCAGTGTTTCAGTAAACGTGTTCAGGTTACACTTCCTGTCAGAAACATAACTGAGATCAATATGAATGGCCACATTAAGCAGCTAATAATTGCTGAGCAAGACAATTCACCCTCCAACTTAGCATTTTAAACTTTAACAAACTTACTATTCTCCATAAAGTTGCATCACTGAGGTAATAGCAGTCAAAACAGATCGAATAATCACATACGTTTTATGTCATGTTTATGAGAAGCTGGGTTGCGGACTTGATGCCTCTTAGATGACTCAGTTTGATGGGTATTGTTGGAACTGCAGAATCTTTGTTCAGGATGTGTCGGTATGCAATCTCCTGTATAGGCACTTTCTGTCCTCATTATTTGATGGCACACCCTCCAGCTCTGCATAGCTTTGTGGGTTTGGGGCTTTAGTAGCAGATCCTCTTCAGCCATGGGATCACAAAAAAAAGGGAGGGGGAAGATTAGCCTTGTGAAAGATGAAAGACATGCCCTGTTTAGTGAAAAAGTAGCCAAAAGGGTTGGGCAGAATTGAATTGTACTGAATTCTACAATGGTTGCCAGTAGGCAGGCAACTTGATGGGATGCTTAAAGCTTATTAGGTTTTCCACAGTTAAAGGGACTGTGATCATTTACCCAAAAATGAACATTCTGTCATCATTTACTCACCTTTATGTCATTCCAAACCTGTATGACTTACTTTCTTCTGAGGTG